GTGGGGAGGGGGCCGGCGATTCACGCACACCTGGCCGGGCTCGGTACCTCTGCGGGGCCTGGGCTGCGCGTGCAGCTCGGGGATGCGGCTCAAACCCGAGCCTGAGCCCGCGAAATAGCGTCAGACCTGAGGACCCGGTGAGGCAGACGGAAATGGCCCTGCACCGTTGTCAGAGCGCGAGCGGTGTGGATTCCCTCCCGTGGATCACGCCCAGCGCTAGGTTTTGGCCAGTTTCCCACGTACAGACTGCTATTTGTGTGAAAACAAGCAGCGGAGGTGTATACGGTGCTAGGGTGAAAGCAGTGTGTGTGCAAATACAGGTAGCAGTGTACACCTAGAGGATCTTCGCAGCTCCTGGGCTTTGTCGCCGAGGTCTGGCTGCCGGCCTGGTTGTTCTGTAGTGAGGCTGCTTACCGGTCGAGCCGAGCACAGCGGATGTGTCTTCAAGTCCCCAAGGGGGAGACTGGGCTATCTGCGGGGTCTCCCCGGGTACAGGGCTGCGCTGCTCTTCCAAAAGGTCTGGAAGGCGCCCTCTGCAGCAGCAGCAAGGACGAGGCCCACCTGGCCTCTCACCGCCTGTCCCCAGTATACAGCTCCTTTCAAGGGCAGCGCAGGTCCTGGCAACCTAGCCAGCAGGAGACAGACAGCCCAGTTAAGGATGGTCAGCTCGGTGGCCAGGGAGGTGAATTGGGTAGAAAGGATGAAGTGAAGAGATATTTACAGGCAGGGGATGTAGCTAAGTGCTAGAGTGCTTGCCTAGCACGCTCCAGGCCCTGGTGCAATCCCCACCATCGCAGAGAGGGATTTGTGTGCGTACACAGAGTTCTATAGGGTGGGAGCTTAATTAATCTACAGGAGAGCCATGAAATAGGGGTGTTTAGATAAAAGAGAAAGACAGGCCTAGACGATCTCAGTGAGAAGTCCAGGCAATAGTCCTTCCACGGTCCAAAGGACTATTGCTGTGCCGGCGGAGAAACAAGCCAGGTGGCATGGGCTAGCCACGCACTTGCAGGGTACTAACCAGCTACACTGTCTGAGCCCGAGGACAACAGCGGAAGTGAGGGCCATGTCCTGATCCCTGTGTAGTATGGAGAACAGAGCGCTTGGCACCTGCTGCAGAGGGCGCCTTCCAGGCCCAGATGGAGAAGCAGTGCAGCCCTGTACCCCAGAGACCCCCCAAAGCAGCCCACTCTCCATTCTGTAGCAGGTCACCCCTCGCTCGGTCTGATTTCCGCATTGCTCAGTTTCTTCTGCTGTTTGTCTTTCTCTCTCTCTCTGCCTCCTTGGCTCTTTCACTATTCTGTATTATGTGGCCACAAAGAAGGAGAAACAGCTGGATCCCCAGAGGAGCAGATATAATACAAATTCTCCCGATAGCTGCAGAGACCATGGGTGACCCCCATGCTGATCTCATCCGATGCTGATCCCTACATGGACATGACATAAAATTTTATTTTCATATAAAAATCTAAGTACAGCTTTGAAATTTTGTTTCTTTTCAGTCCGTTGGCTGCTGCCTCTTTGGCTGCTGGTAGACTCTATTCGTTTCTCTCAGGGGCATTTCTTCTTCATTAGGACACTCAGAGCCTCGGACTCTGCCTTAGAATAACCCTCCCTGTCCCCTGTTGCCCTCTCTGGAGAGGGCAAAGTCTTTTCTGGTGCAGAGGGAACTAGACAGCCACCCTGCACACAGGGAGGTCGGAGGCTGCACCTCCAGGGTCAGTGGCGCAGAGTACTCCCTATGCAATGGGGAGTCTGGGAGGGTGCCGCAGGGAGTGATGATGCTCTGGGGGGCCGGTGGCTGCTCCCTGGCCCGCAGCAGGGTAGAAGAATAGGGACCCAACTCTCCAGAGCAGGCCCTGGGGAGACAGGGGGAACCTTCCCAGCAAACTGTGGAAGTTTTGGCTCTCCCTGGGGTCGGGAGCACCCCCTGGAGATCTTGCTACTGAAGGAAGGACTGACCCACACCATCCCAAGCCCCAAGGGAGAGAGAGGGCTTGGGGTTCAGGCTGGGTGGGAGAAAGGAAGGTCTAGAGTCTGGGGTCTGTGTTCCTGTGTGGACTGGAATAAAGGAGTCAACCAAACGCCACCGCTGCTCGGGGCACCGGGACCATTTGGTAGGGGTGGACTGAGGGAAAGGGCTTCATGTGGAGGCACAGGGTCGGACTAGGGCTCAGCTCCACTCTCCAGGCCCATAGAGGTGACCAGGACCCATGCCCTGCAGGCCCCAAACTGTGGGAGCCCGAGCAGCCCCTCCCTTGACCCCCAGATGCACAGGACCTCCTTTTCTAGCCAGATCTGGATTCTTAGGGCCTGTGACTCCGGACCTGATCCAGCCCCTCTCCCCCGTCCCCCTTCACCCTCATCTGGTCTTTGCTTCACAGCTTTTCTGCCTGCATTCGTCTCCGTTTTCAGGTCTCTATCTCTCCATCACACCCCCTCCCCCTTTGTTAATGCAGGGGCTTCACACTGAGCCCCTCCCCTCTTCCCAGAATAACACTGAGTAAAATGAGATAAAACCCACCGCCTGTAGGTTTTTTTCCTGTCCTATTCAGCCCCCTCCTCCAGGGCTCCAACCCCCTCTTATAATGTCAGATAATTGCTGGTGTGCAGCTCCGAGGAGCCAGAGCTGATACCGGGAAGGAGAGGGGGAGAGATAAATAATCATCTGCCTCCATTCAGCGTATATAGGTTACCTGATTTGCATATATGCTAATAATGCTATAATTACCCTGCTGTTCTGGCCTGTGATCAAGTTCTATAAATACATAGGATAGCGAAGCGAGGCCTAGCAACACCACCCCCGAAATCACCGCGCATATGTATGTATCTGTGTTCATTTCTGTGGCCCCGAGTCTCAGCCGTTCTTTGTTACCACGCACGGAGGCTGCTGTTCCGCCTTTCCCCTGCCCCTCCTGCGTTTTGAGGCAATTCCGAGGGAGGACGAGGAATGCTGGGTTATATTAAACACTTAGTATTCGTTTCATTGTCGGTGCTACGGCTACTTTTAGGAAGATCAAAGATTTCACAGAATCAGTGAGTCTGTTATCAGCACCCGAATGTTCCTGCCCCACAGGCTCCTGCTGGGGTTAGGAAGCCCCCGGCCCGGCTTGGCCGGTTGAGACGGCTCTGAAAGTGGTAGCTTCAGGAGAGGAAGTGGAATCACCTCGCCCAAATCTGCCCTTGCTGCTGCCGCCGCCGAGGCCGCCCAGCCGAGCGAGCCATCGCCTGAGCAAACCCGGGGCTAGACACACAGGGAGTGCAGATTTTCGGGCGATGGTGGTAAAAGTGGGGAGGAGGCTTGGAGGAACATAAAAGACGCCATCCACAGCTGTCTGCTTTTAATTATAATTATCCCCTCGTGCTTCCTTTCCGGCTAATGAGGGGGGAATTTAAATTCTCGCCCCCTTCTCCCCCTCCCTCCTTTCCCTGGCACTGAGGGGTGGGGTGAGCTCGGGGTCCTCCTCCCCTTCCTCCCCTATCCCCTGGTTACTGGGAGAGAGGCAGACTCCAGAGGGTAGTGACGGTATGAAGAGATTTGTAGGGACAAAAGAAGGACAGGTTTGGATTGCTGGACACGTCCCAGAGTTGGAGAGAGCCCCCCATTCCCCTGGCACCCCTCCCATGAACCCCCCAGCTCCCTAGACAAGGAACTCAATGTCTCCCGGCCGGTGAGAAAGGAGCTAGTGGGAGCCAAGGTCTCGGGGGAGGGGAGGGAGAGGTGGGGAGCTGGGGTGCAAAATTAGTCTCAAAGGGTCTTTATTTCTGAGCTACTGAAGCAGATGTAATCAAGGGAGAGCAAAATAATCATAATGGGAGGGGTGGGGAAGGGCGGCTGGGCCGGAGTGGGGGCACTGGGCCCGGGAGGGGCGGAGAGTTGGGGGGCTGGGAACTCGAAGGGAGGGACTACTGCCCCCTCGCCCCTCTGGGGTCTCCCCACTCTCAGATGGGGACAGGGCCCGTGTCGATCTGACCTCAGCCCTCGGAATCCTCCTTGGGAGCGCGGGGAGGCTGGGCCGGAGGTGGCTGGGAAGGCCCCCGGGAGGGAGCCAGCACTGGGCCGGAGGGGCGGAGAGTTGGGGGGCTGGGAACTCGAAGGGAGGGACTACTGCCCCCTCGCCCCTCTGGGGTCTCCCCACTCTCAGATGGGGACAGGGCCCGTGTCGATCTGACCTCAGCCCTCGGAATCCTCCTTGGGAGCGCGGGGAGGCTGGGCCGGAGGTGGCTGGGAAGGCCCCCGGGAGGGAGCCCCTGCCCCGCGGAGGGAGGCAGTGCGGAGAGGGCGCCGAAAGCCCTGGGGGAGGGTGAGAGAGGAGAGCGGCCGAGACTCAAGTGGCCTCCAGGTCTGTGGGACAAAAGTTGGAGGAGATTTGTGTATGGGAGCAGAGGGGAGGGGTCGTGGGGAAGGGGGGCTTTGACAATGAACTTGAGACAAACTTCATTAACATGCAGGCCTGCTGTCTGTCACGTCCAGCCCGGGCCGAGTTCCCATGCAGGCCGGGAAGAGTGGGAGGGAGAGACAGGGAGGGGCCTAGGGTGGGGTGAGAGAGAGAAAAGAGACCAGACATTGTACCGCTCAGGGCCCCAGCTTCCACCGAATATCGGGACCCCAGCCCTGGAAACCGGCCCTGAATCTGAATCGCACCGTCCTGCGATGATTCATCTCCTCTCTGAGCCCGTGGTCCCACCCCTCTCGTCTAGACCTCCAGAGCTGGCCACCCCCGCTCTCGGCCGCGTTCTCCTTCCCCACTCGTCCGGGTTTCAGTGCATTCAGCTGACCGGGTTAGGGGGCTGGAGGACAGGACATCCCAAACCTCCCCTTGGCGAACCAAGCCCCTCCGTGAGTCCTGTCAGCTCCTCCCGGCCTCCTCACCCCCAGCAAGTCACCACTCCCAAGTTTAAAGCGAAGCCAACTGAGGAGCCCGGGACGGGGACAGGGCCGCTTCTGTCACGCCTTCCCCTGCTCTCCTTCTGGACGGGGGAGGGACGAGGTGACTTGGAAGAACAATAGCGCCGGAGCCCCTTCTTCCAGCCTCGGGTTAGAAAAGGCGGCAGGGGAGGTGGGGAGCAGGGAAGGTGACAAAGACCACTTCCCCGCAGGCGCCTGGGAGGGGCCGCAGCGGTGGGCTGGGATTTTGGCGGTGCCCACGTCTCCAGATAGGGCAGCACCCCCTTTATGCTGCCTTTCCAGGGAGAGCAGCAAGAGAAAGAAAGAGAGAGAGAGGCAAATGAAATTCCTGACTGGATAGACAGATGCTACGTCACGAGCTGCATCCTCCACTCCACAAGAGGCCCGGAGCTGGGGGAGACGGGCAGTCCGGCCGCAGCAGGGCCCGCTGCTGCGCCTCTCCGCAGGAGCCTGGTAAGTGGCCACGGGGGCCCGGAGAGGACCCCAGCCCCCTCGGAGGCCTGAGCTGGGGGTGGGAAGGGGTCCCTTAAAGGGCGTCAGAGCACCGTCGCCCTCCCACTTTGCTGCTGGCTGATGGAGGCTGGTGCAGTAATCACGGAAAGAAAGGGCCGTGGAGATGCCCGGCCTGACAGGGGTGAAGCCGGCTTGCTGAGGAGGAGCTGGCCACAGCAGAGCATCACCTCCTGCGGCCGGGCCTGGGCAGGTACCCATGAGCAGTGGCCCTGCCCACCCGCTGGCCGCGCAGGGCGCCTGGCCCCTCCTTCCCCGGCCTCTGCCAGCCCAGACAGCTCACTAAGTTTGTCAGTGAGATTGGAGGGGGAGCTTTGGGGTCACAGTGCTACTGACCCTGTTAATCCGCCCCTCCCTTCTCTCCACCAGACTGGGCCAACATCTTAATGCTGGTCCCAGAGCAGAGGCAGGAAGAGAGGTTGTGATGGAGGTGGAAGGGAAGAGAACACTGCTTCTAGGTTGGGGCTTCTGATCTTTCCTCCCTCCCACTCCTGTTCCTTTCTGCCCCAGACTCTGTAGGATTTAGGGGAGGAAAAAATCTGAAGGACCCACCTTTCCAAGAAGGTAGAAGGCAGAATTGAGAAAAAAAAATCCAAAAAGATGTTACAGAGATTCAGATGAAATTCATTCCCCCTCTCCCCACCCCTTTCCTTAGGCGGGAGGAGGCCCGATAGCTTCCAGGAAAGCAAGGGCTTTTGCAGATGTGTGGCCTCAGCCCCATGGGAAAATGGAGGTATTTAGTCTTTTTGGTGCGGTTTTCAGAAGGGTCAGGGAGAGAAGGAAGGTGGGCTTCTGCGGAGAGCTCTATAGGGTAGTGCAGGTCGGAACAGAGCCCCCGCTCCTGGTGCCCCGCAGGCCAAGGTGCCCATGTGCTCTGTGCACTGGGGCTGTGGCATCATCACTGCGTCCCCAGGGCATGGCAGTGCCCATGTGGGTGGTGGGGAGCGGTCAGTGAAGAGAGGTGTAGCCGCCCCGCAGATGCGTGAATGGCCACAATTTGCATGGAAGAAGGAAGTGCCCCTTGTCCTGGTGCCTGTTTTCTGGCTTGTCAGATAAGGTGTGAGGCAGGGACAGGCGGCCCCTCTGTGACAGGAAGCTGAGGGTAGTTTCAGGCTGAGGCATCTCTGTGAGCTGGTGGGCTAGCAGAGCTTTGGCTGGAGTCAAGGGAGTATCTGAAAAGTTAGGGGACTCAGAGCACCCCTCCTAGAAAGCAGGCTTGGACTTGAGGCTTACTCCTGCTCCCAGCACACACCCCTTTTCCGATCCCCCCTGCAATTAGTAGCCTACTTTCTTGACTTAAAAAGAATTACTTGTGGAATTGAATTGGAGGTAAAAGAATCCATCAGCTTGCTCCAACACACACACACTTACACACACTCTCACACTCACACACACACACACACACACACACTCACACACCATCCCGGTATTGCATTTTAGGAGCTCTGTTGCCCATGCCCATCATTCCCCAAACCCTAATTTAACCTGAAAGCAAAGTACTGGGAAGACTACAAAGGATGGACTGAGTTCTGTGCCCAACATTAGAATAATAAAAAATAACTGATTTGTATTCATACCTTTTGTGTTTGTGAAAAGGGAGGAGAAAATTGATAGCTACTGATGTCTTTATGGACCCCAAGAGGTGTACACACTCAGATAGGTGACAGATAGACAGGTAATGACGGGAGGGCTGGGAGCTGCAGAGACCACAGACAGAGACTCCTTCACGTGCAGTCAGTAGTGTCACCCACCGGATCAGGCACACGAGACCCCACCCTCACCCAGACCCTGGGTCTAGAGTGGCAGCAGTCAGGGAGGTGGCAGTGCCCACTGGGTGGGAACTACCAGCATCTCTAAGTGAAGACGGATTTCCACCCGGGCTCAGCTCAAAGCCCCTGGACCTGAAGGCTCTGGATAGCGGCGGTTGTGAGAACAAGGCCAAGGCAGGGTCAGAGTCACCCAGAGAAGTTGCAGGGCAGGGGCTCTGCCCAGCCTGAGGGTCCAGGCTCTTCTCTCTCAGCCTCCAGGGGACGCCCTGGAGCCTGGCAAAGGATGAGGAGAAGCCAGACAGGCAGGACCTGGGTGCAGCGCTTGGGAGGCCTTGAAGGAGCTGGGCTGCGGGGGAAGAGCCACCCAAGGGCTGACCTTTGTGTTGTTGTCCTCACAGGCAGCTGGGAAGGAGCAGCCTCATCTGTTCCTCGTATCCTCAGCGTCGTCGACGTCGGTGGCTACCTTTGGCTGTGGGGTATTTATTTTCTTCCTTCTTGTTTGTGGTCCTGGTGGGGTTGGGGAGGGAAAAGGTGGCTGGCATTATCCCGTTTTCTCCTGCTCCTCACCTCCCCACCCACTGCCCCCATCTGTCTCTTCTGCAGCGAGCCGAGCCCTGTGTAGTTGGTGACAATGGAACAGAACATGGTAGCTTGGGAAGGGAAGGCTACCCTGGTCAATCCTGTTACAGAAAGGAACGGCGGGGGGGTCTGGGGACTCTCCTCTCCCCGCAGACTCCTGAGGGCAGGGGGAGGCCAGTGGAGCTGGGGGAGGTGGTTGGCTGTGTGGGTGACAGGTGAGCAAAGACAGCCATGATGTTAGAGATGAATGGGCCCAAAGTCCCTGTGAGCAGGAGTGTGTGCCGGCACCCGGCCAGCCGCGCGTACCTGTGTCAGGAGGGCGGGGCCACTGCCGAGTACACGCGGGCTCGCCCTGCCTTTGTCGGATTGAGTTTGGGTGTGTGTGCATATGCACACGCATGGCACCCTTGCACACTCATGCTTGTGCCCCTTATGGAGGCCTTTTGATGCGGGTAAGGGGTCTTGCAGAGAGGACCAGTCTGCAGGCACCAGCTTACCCTCTCCACCTCCACACCCTGTTCTCACTGCCCGGTGTGGTGGGGGCGCGGTGACATGGGAGCAGGCAGGGAGGTGGTGTGGACAGCCAGGGCCCTCCACCCAAGGATAAAGGCTCTGAGGGAAAGAATGGTGGGCCCTGGACAGAACCCCTCCTCAGTTTCCCGTGCTCTCTAGCCTCATCTGCATGCAGATATACATATAAATATATATATATCTACATTCACACAGCCTCACTGTATTTTTTACTGCCACTTCCCACTTTTATTTGTCCCAGTCCCATAGACAATGCAAATATTCTACAGCAAAAGAATAATGTATGGTAATGTTCATGATAATGATGCATTCATAAGACAGAAATAAATATCTGCACCTAGCTGCTCTCAGAAGCAGCTTTCATCTGTGTCTTTAAGGCAAATTAATCTGGTAATTGAAGCAAAGAGAAAATATGCTTTTTATTGAATTACTTGAATATTTCAAGAGCGTGGTTTAATGCCAAAATGTGTTTTGGGACCCAGATTATAAAGATCTGCCCCAAGCTCTGTCCGGGGTGCATGATTCTGGCCACATTTTCTGCTCTATGTCTCCGGGGTCCCCTTCGGGCAGAGACAGTAGGGTGGGCAGCTCAGGGTGCGGGGGGGGGCACAGGGATTGGGGCACTCTCCCCAGAGCCCCCCAGAACTTCCCTGGAAGAGCTAGGGGTGAGGTCCATGGGCCACCACTCTGAGGGATCCCTGGCGAGCTATGCCACGTGCTGCGGCCAAGGCCTTCCCAGAAAAACCGAGGCTGGCCTGGCGGCTGATCCCGCAGCAGGGCGCCCACTTCGCTCAGGCTCTTGTCCTCCTTTGGGACTGCCCTGCTGCTTAGTGGTCTTCCCTACTCGGAGGAAGTGCGGGGCGGCCATAACACAGCACCCACGGACACGATGCCCCAGCCCCTCCCACCCTATCTGCAAGTCCCACCGAAGGCACAGCTGCTCAACACCCGCTCCCCACCACAAAGCCCACAATCACAGCACACAGGCCTGCAAGACTGTCACTTCCTGCCCCCACCGTGTCTGTCTCCGCATTTTCTGCCCAGTTTGTCATCCTTGTTTCCTCTGGGACAAAGAATACGTCAGAAATTGTCCCTGACCTCAAGAGCTGTCTCAGTTACCACCCTCCAGGTAGTTTCTTGTCTGAAAAGGGGAAAAACGTGGCTTGGCACGCCAACCAGTTCCAACCCCCTGAAGTGCCCAGTTCTCCGGGGCTTTTCTGGCTTCTGTCCCTGTCTCCGGACAGGCCAGAGCAGTGGGAACTGAGTTGCCCAGCAAACCCAGTCAAAATCACAGGGAAATGTACTTCACAGGAAGCTGAACAGAGTGGGGTTCCACGTGGATGGAGCCTGGAAGTGTAGGCTGCCCGCTTCCCTGCGTGTGTGTGAGGAGGGTGGGCTCTCCCTAACCTGGACCTTCTGTCAGACTGATCACCTCTCAGCGCTGGGACCACAGTGAAAGGCAGAAGTGTCTCGTGCTTTATCTAGCTGCGTGGGGGAATTTTGATATATGTATTTTGAGAAGTCTGCTAAATACACCCATTTCTCTCTTGACATTAGTTTTTAAGGAATTCCAATTAAGTCTGAATCTGGTGAGGGAGTCTCCACTAGGAAAAAACCAAAACAACTTTGTGTCCTGTCCTCTTCCCTCTGGACAATAATACAGCAATGGCAGAAAGCTTGGCCTTGTAGTGCTGGAGAGGGGAAGCAGAGAAGAAGGGCTGATCACTGCTTTAAGGAGGGCGGAAGGGAGATACTTGTGGGGAAAGTTGCTGGTGTGTCTGGAGAGGTGCAGGCCCAATTTGGAATGCTGGAAGGTGGCTACTACTCAGTTTGCTGAAAAATCTTTGAGGAGGCTGTCTGCCTGCTTGGAGAGAAAAGGCTGGAGTGCCCATGTTTCTCTGGTATACAAGGTGCATTTGGAGAATGCATTGGCAGCATGCTGGCTGGCAGGTCTGTCTGTGAGTGTCTAGGGAGGCTTCTCTTTTTTTTGGCACCTGTCCTGGAGGAACAGGGTCCTCCTATGTATTCTGAACTGCAAGGGCACCTGGGAGGGGACACTCTATCCCTACCTGTCTCCTCTCCTCTCCGCTGGCCTGTGTGCCCCTGTTCTAGGGTGTCTGTGAAGTGTTGGCACTGCCAAAGCCTTCCCCTTGGGTAAGGGCCTGGAGACCCTGTGGAGCCCGAGAACACCCTGAGCTGGGGCACCCTGTGCCCTTTCTAGCAGGGAGCCTCAAGGGCCCTGGGCTTTCTCCCCACTCAGACTGAGCCCACCATCCCCAGGAGCAGTGGTTATTCGGTGTTCCGTCCTTGAGGGGCACACCTGGTTAAGCCACTGCCTTTTCGCTTGGCTCTGATCAGGGTGGGCAGCATTCCAGCTTGGCTTTGTCCTGGGGTGGGCACACACACAGACAAAACCACCTGAGCAGGCCTGAGGATCCACAGTGGTCGCCTGGAGTGCACCCACTCTCAGAACCACCTAACTTCAAAGACCCAAGGTCACAGAAACGACCTGCATTAACCCCGCCCACAGGCTCCTGACGTAGGAGCCTTAGTCTCTTAGGGGAGAGGAAGGATGGGGTGTCTGCGCCCTGGCGGGGCAGCAGCTCCGAGGAGCCCAGGGATTGCGCTCTAGATCCTCCTCCAGCAGCCTGAATCTGCAATCTGCTGCTAGCTGCCATGTGCCACCCAAGGCTGAGACAGTACTCGATTTAGACTTCACTGGCCTGCAGAGGTGAACCAGGAATGCTCTGCTGAGCCAGGTGGGAGGCAGGACTGGGGAGTCGGACCGAGGGAGCCTTGAGGAGGAGTCCCAGACTGCCAGAATCTGCCCCACTGTTTTGAGCTGAAAACTAGAGGTTCCTCTTCATTCCAAAGGTCAGGAGCGAGTTTGGGAAGAACCAGAGAAAGTCTAAAGACATCCTGACGGGAGGAGGGAGGAGAGGTAGAACCTCCGGTTATCTGGTTCTTTCTGAGCGGATTTCACACGATCGCGATAGCTTCTCTAGCTTTGCGCCGCGTCCCGCAGCAATACACCTAGGGCCGGAGTGGAAAATGCGTGTCCAGGAGCGTCGGTGGAGATCAGAACCACAAATAGCAACACGCCATCTGTGCCCGCGGGTCTCGGGCGGGCGGCAGCCAGCGGCTAAGGAACGGCGCACACTCGTAGTAGCCCCTCCCCACCCCCAGCACGCCCTTCTGGCGGGGCGGGGTACCCCAATTGTGAGGTGGGGCCCGGCCCGGGAAGGGGGAGGGCGGGGCCGACTGGGGACCGAGGCAGTGACGTCAGGCGAGGAAGAGCCAATCAGAGGCTGGCCTGGGGAGGGGGGGCG